TCTTTATTTCTTAGTATATGTTTATTCTCATTAATTTTCTAACTTAAATCGTATATAGTTAAACTCAGCAAATAAATTTAATCTTGGTAACTTTTTCACAGATTCTCCACACTTCTGGAAGAAACAAATTTTTTTATAGATGATTTCACACTATCAGAAAGTAGAAGGCGTTGATGAGATATATACAATAATAATAAAAAATAATTTACAATATATATATATATATATATATATATATATATATGTAACGACCTATTAATGGTCGTCACTAAGTGCGCCGGGCCGAACACCTGCCCGACGCTCCTGGCCGACCATCCGCCGAGCGCGTGATCCATCCCCTCCGGCGGGATGCCCAACACGTGAAAGTAAGCGCGTGGGGGGACCAGCACCGGTATATAAGCCGGCTCGTTCGAAGAGCCGGCACCAGTCCTGTCCTGAATCCTGATCCTGACATCAAGCCTCTGGGTGTACTCGAGGCTTCCAAGACCAAGATTCCTGACAGTCGACGAAGACGGGTGTACCCTCTTTGTAGCCTGGGAGTTCCCGGCGTTCGACTTCCTTCTCTCCAACCGACGGAGGTGGGTTTAACCCCTTCGCTGCCTGGGAGTACCCGGCGTTCGGTTCCTTTCTCTACGACCGACGGAGGTGGGTTTAACCCCTTCGCTGCCTGGGAGTACCCGGCGTTCGGTTCCTTTCTCTACGACCGACGGAGGTGGGTTTAACCCTTTCGCTGCCTGGGAGTGCCCGGCATTCGGTCTCCTGTGTCCGGCCGACGGAGGTGGGTTTGACCCCTTCGCTGCCTGGGGGTACCCGGCATTCGGCTCCTTCTCTCCGGTCGGCAGAGGCGGGCGTGCCCCCTCTGACGCCAGGGTGTACCCGGCATCCGACTTTTCCGCAGCGCGCCGCGCCGCCGCCCGCGGCTCCGCGACCGCGAGATATATCGTCCGTCCGCGCGTTAGGAATAAGTTTGTACATAAACATTAGTGTGATCGTCCGCTAGGTTAAGCATATGTATACATAGTGTAAATAGTAATTGAATAAACCAATTGTTAAGCTTAATCACGTGTACGCAAGTTTGGCCTTCCGACCCCGTCGAATCCTGATCCCGGCGAGCCGTCCGAGGCGATACGTAAACCGTACCGTTACATATATAACAAGACCTGATACACGCAGGCCTAACTTGCTAGCACCGAATGAGCAGTGCGTGGGTGCATTCGCTCACAAAAGACCAGGTCCTCCACAGCTGGAGCGATTACCTTGACTCGACCGCTCCGCTGGACACGCTGTAGAAACGCCTGCGAAAACACATGAGTAAACATCCAGAAAACATGCCGGGGACTAGCACACAGCAGAAGCCTGTCAATTTGATCCCGCCGACCATTATCATACCAGGGGACGACCAGATGTCCGACGAGGACGATAGTGACAGCGAGAACACGATGGGCCGTCGACCGTCTCGACCCCGCCAGGATCTGCTTGCACTCGACCGGATGAAGACAATGAACCAGATCCGAAAGTGGGGTCACTTCTTCGATGGCAAAGATCCCCTTGCCTTTCTGGAACGAACGGAGGAACTCCGAGCCAGCTACGCCTCGATCCCGTCCAGCTAATCACCGGTCTTCCGGAACTACTACGGGGCGACGCCCTACTCTGGTATCGGAACCATAATGAGGAATGGGATACCTGGGAACAATTTTACTCAGGCGTTCCGCACCCATTTTCTACGCCCGGATATAAGCGGCGGATGAGGCGTGAGATACAAGGTCGGCATCAACGACCTGGGGACGTTCAGGTATTCAACGGCCGTATTGACCA